AGATTTGAATGGTTCACGGTCGTGAACTCAAGAACAACAACACTTGATTTTGATGAAAAGGCGGGTGTTTGACGCTCCAAAACGTTTTCCAAGGCGGATAGAGTGATAGATGAAGAGAAATCTTGTGTTTTCGGGTGATGATTTTTAGAGAGAGAAAGGGTGTTCGCGGCCAGGAAAGTGCAAATGAGGGGTATGAGCTCATATATATAGGGGTTTTCATGGTCGGTGGTGGGGTCACCAGCCGTGAACGGGTTTACGGCCGTGAACACTACTCAGGCCTGAATTCGCTGATTTTCGAAGGAAACTCTGGCTTTTTGTGCGATTTTGGTTCCGACTCATATATAAAATTCAATTATATAACTTAAATGATTTTCCAAACCAAAGGAATTTGATGGAACTAAATAAAAGTCAAATTTTATTTGACGGAATCGGGCTAACATTAACGGAAAAAGGTTCGGGTTGTCACAAACTTGCATGTCATCAATGCCTTTACGTCCTCGTACTTTTATTGATGTGCTCTCTTGTGAAACTTTTGCGTAAGATCTAAGCATACCTCGTACGACCAGTAGTCCTCCTAGGACTTTTGCAACTCAAGTACCATGGTTACAACCATGATGCAAGCGACCATTGCATTGTCATAGTGTTTCTTATAAGTGGCAAGCTCTTCAAGAGTAGCAGTTGACTCATCGATTTCAAGAAGGTATTTTTCAAGAACATATTCTTTGTTCTCGTATCGAATAGTCATCTTGAGATTTCGCATCCAATCCACATAGTTGGGACCAACTAGTTTATCTTTGGAAAGCATCAAGAGGAGAGTTAAGTTTGAGTTGTTGTTGGAGGACGAAGTAGCAGTAGCATCAGCAGGAGTCGACATGTACAATGAAGAAATAGTTTTAGTTAGTTGATATAAATCCTTAATATTTTAACCTAAATTTAATATTTAAGGCTAGGATCCAATATAACAATTCACAACCAAGAAGATGGATGTCATAATGTTATTGCGAATTTATGAAGGTAGGTAAAACAATTCACCAATTTGAAACGATGAAATTCCTAGATCTTTTGAGATTTATTGAATCTTATCAATACATGTTTAATCTCATATTATGCTCTTTTATTTGCGACTGGGATCCCGGGGATCATAAACAAGATGTGAATAACCATGCAAACACGCTTGGCAACCTCGATGTCATTTATCATCTCTAATTAATGTGTCGGTTAACCACACACACTCCATTAATATTTTAGAGATGCCCATCATTTCTCTTTAAAGTCCTTATTACTGTGCGGGTTAACCACACACGCTCCACTAACGACATATTAAAGTATGATGTGTGTTTTCATGGATTAGCATACTTTTCATATTTTTTCTGAAGTAATTATAGTGAGATTTTTAAAGAAGATTCTAGTACTTTTATATCATTATACTTTTAATGAGATTATGTCCTATCAAATCCGTTCGGCTAACGATCCTCCACAACACAGGAGAGAGGTGGGTGAGAATAGACACCAATTTAACGACCATTTTTTAGGTCGCTTCCTTATACTCTCTTTATCGCTTGGCTTCGTGAATGGGGGCTACTATTGATTTGACTAACTTTTCTTATACATATAACAATTAACTTTTAATAATATACATATAAGGTGTATTTTAAAACATTTCAAAATACAAGGTTTAAACCTTTAATTATCTGAATTAAACTTTTTAATTTAATTAAATTTAAACCAAGTATGATTTAATCTTTATCTTTGAATTAACTATTAATTAAATTAATTTAAATCATTTATGATTTAATATTTATCTTTTAATTAACTATTAATTAAATTAAATTAAATCATTTACAGATTAAATAATTATCTACTATTAAAAAATTAATTAAATAATTCAAATTTAATCCTTATCCAATACCCTACTAATTTTCGAAAACTAGAGATTGGTTTATCCAATTTTTATTATTCCATTTTAAGGATTTTAAAATAATAATTAAGGAAACTAGATAAACCTAACAACCCTAGCAAATTTTCGAAATCTAAGGGTAGAGGCTAGGGTTTCAGAAACCCTAGCCAAAATCGAAATATTCAAGCCTTTAGGGTTTAATTTCTATAAACCCTAATTTTGATCTATTCAACTTTATGCATAATCAATTGAAAACTATGGATCTGATACCACTGATGCGTTTTATAGGTTATAATTAAAAACACGTGGCGGAAAAACTTAACCCTATTAAGTTCACATGCAACCTATTTTGATCTAAGTTTTCTCTATTAAAAGCAATAAACTATTAAATATTAAGAACCCTACGAGCACCCTACTATTATTAAAAATAACAAGGAATTAGGGTTACCTCTTGATTATTATAGAAAATAACCAAAGTAGACCTTTCTTTTGAAGCCTTGAAAGCTAACACCAAAAGCTTGATGTCTTTAATGGTTTGTACCCAAACCCTAGCAATGGAAGACTTGATAGGGGAGAGGAGAGGGGATGATAATTTTGGATCTTCTTCTTGAAAAAGTAGTGGAAGAAAATGTGATGCCAAAGGACCATATTTATAGTTGATAGGAAAATCCTAGAACCCCTAATTTGAAATAAAATAATATTATTTCAAATCCGAAATTATCTAGTTTCCTAATTATCCATATTATCCATATGTAATAATCTAGAAACCATAAGGAGCCTCCAAATTTCGGCCAACCCTAGAAACTTTCTAGAATTCCTCTCTTGTTCAACTATTGAATAATTACAGCTTTAGTCATTGCACTTATAACTAATCCCAAAATTAATTCCAATTAATTTCTGATTAATTAATAATTAAATAATACTATTTCTAATTAATATATTAATCTCATAATATATTAACAAACTATTTATTAATCATATAATAAATCAATATATCAACCTCTCTATCCAAAAGTCATTCCGTCAATTATTAGTTTTGAGGGCAACCCAATAAGGACTTTGCTTTTAATTCAAGTATATATATCAATTTAGTTATTGGCTTAGACACTTAATCCAACAATAACTTGTACTTCATATAGAAATGTAATAATGGTTTGACCTGGTTGTTGATGTTTGCTATGAATCCCATATAGAAGGTGTTGCTGATGAGCCATATTTGTGGTGGTATACATGTCTTTAAGAAGATCCTATGTTTCTTTACCAGTGACAAAAAGCCTGAATTGTTGGTTAATTTCAGTTGTTGAAGTATTACACAGAATGGTGACAATTTCTCCATTCTTACACAACCAATTTTTCTTCCTTAATGTCAATTGCATCTTGATCCTCATTTTCTTTTTGACCAGTCTACGTAAAGCCCAAATTGTTGGTTGATTTCAGTTGTTGAACTATTACACAAAATGGTGACAATTTCTCCATTATTACACAACCAGCTTTCATCTCTAATGGCAAAAGCATCTTGATCCTCTTTTTCTTTTTGAACTGGTCTAGGTAAAGCACCTGTAACAACCTTTCGTAGTTTTCGAGATTGAAGGTAGCTTTTCATACAACGAACACATATAACATAATTGGATTCATCTAAAGTAACTGAAATGGGGCGAAGTGTGACAAGAGGAGTTTCCATGGTTTAGGGAGGAGATACAACAAAAGAATGTGAAACGTGAAGAATGTTGTGGAACCTCGTGAACAAAATAGTGTGCAAGAAATGGCAGTGATGGTGTTGAGAGAAGAGTATACATCTGAGTCGGACTTTACCAGAAAGGGTTGATTATGGCGGCTAAAGTGGGTTCGATTTTACTAGAAAAAAGGGGGCGATAAAGGCAATTGCATAAGTAATAAAGAGAGGTAGTTGTTGAAGGGGTGATGACGAGAGATTGAGTCGACTATGGCTCTAGTGGCAATGAAACACAGCACAAAAGTCGACCAAAGATGATGAGACTGATGGACTTGGTAGCGATTTGAAGCTCTACTCTGATACCATGAGAACGATTGAATCATTGTATTTGACTTACCAAAGTCTTGGAATCGAGAAAGACAATATACAAGGAATAAATACTTAGTCGATTATACATAACTTGTTAGATTTTGGGTCTAAGAATATCAATATATACTTGGATAATACTTGAATCGTGATTGCAATCACTTATAAATTTGTGATTTTGACCCTTTTTGCATGAGATATCTTGAAATATGATTTGGGATAATCTAAGAATGACAAATTAGAAGTCAGACCACTTCCAAATTCGAAACACAGAAAGTATCTTGCTATTTTGTATTTTTGAAAGATAGAGAGAATCAGATGATCAATTTTCCAAAGTGGAGAATCCAAACCTTTTTGGAACATTTTCTATGTTCTTATACAGGAGAGAAAGTTGGTTAAAAGTGGTTACATCCATTTTGGCGTCAAAACTGGTAGTTAGAAAGGTGGTTATCATACATAATCGATTCTTACATAATAATGATGTCGCAACCTGTTTTGGACCCCACAAGGGGTGCTGCATCTTGGAGCCAGGGGTGCTAGCCCCGGAATCCCGTATTCCCGAGCTCACATTTTTCACTTCGAGTGTGCATCCCGCACCTCCAACCTCGATGAATAAATAGAATTCAACCTATCTCAAACTTAATAATAACTACACTATAATATATTAATAACACTAAAATCACCAATATAAATGACATAATGAGTTCTTCAACTATATTTATATATATTAACACACCATCCAAGCTAAATTTGACAGGAATGAAAATAATCAATCAAGTGACTGGACGTGTGCATAAAGAAATGAAAGTTCCTAAAGGAAAGGCAATGTCATATGCAAATGTGGTTTCGATAAATAGACAGGATAAACGAGAGATGAACAATGATATTTTTTTGGATGGAGATGAGATTATACTTCTTTCTAGAGAATATGTAGTGGATCACAATGCAAATAGGTGTTATTCTTGGATGTGTCAAAGTTAACTATTCCAAACATGCAAGTAATGTGTAAAATGAAAACATGATGTTGTCTTGAATTCAGGTCGGTGAACTAGTAACCGAGTAAATATGTACAAAAAATGTCAGTATTTTTTTAATAGAATTAGAAGATTATTAGTAAAACATGTACAAAAAAAATGGTACACCTTATAAAAATATTTTGCCGATAAATCAAGTAGTTATCCTTTTTTTTTCTTCTTTAATGCCTTGTTTTTTCTCCTTCTCCATCACTAATTCCTCAAATATTCTGTCATCCGCCTTCATATCTTTTCACCATTCCCATATGATTCTATCCATGTTTATGTTCGTGTCTCATTGTGACAACTGGCCTATCAGGAAACAAAAATACAAACATAACTTCAATCCATAATCAACATAAATTATTTAAAAAGTTACCAACACCAGTTGTAGAAAAATGGTTCCCATATGTATTTATCCATGTTTATGTTCATTTCTCATTGTAACAACCGGCCTATCATGATACAAAATTACAAACAACATAACTTCAATCCATAATCAACGTAAGTTATTTAAAAAGTTACCTACAGTACCAGTTTTATAAAATGGTTATCATAAGAAACAAGGTGGCTCATATGCTTTGCCTAGGCTGATACGAATGAATGAGTTGTTGCATAAAGCGTTGTCTACCATTCACTCTGATCATAGATATGGAAGGCTGGACAACAAATCAGATTAAAGGATGAGGAATTATGAAGAAAAAACAAGCTAATGGTGGACGGTTATACATTAAGGAATGGTTCACATGTAACTTATTCTAATAATAAACAAAGCTTATATTCATTTATATAGGCTAATTTTGGTTAAGGGATTTAAGTAGCATATTGATTTACATTTACAAACAAATATTGGTATTTCATGCCAAAGAGAATGATTAAATGTACATACTTAGATCCAACTCGGAATAAGCGTCCCCTCTGTAAGCTCTCGGCTTCTTATATTTATATAGACCTTTGCAGTCCATCTGACAAGATTTTCTCCATCCACGTACCTCTATGACAGTGTGATCTATCAGTATTTGCAGCTAATCTTTGACTAAAAGCATCAGCTCAAAGGGGAACTTACCTTTATGGGGAATGGTATCACCAACCAACATATTTAACCAATCAGGGGTGGTTTTCTTGAAAAAGTCACGACGACAAAGATAATAGGCTCCTGTACTCAGCTCAAATTCACATAGATCTCCTCCAACAACTTCTTCCTCTTTCTTGTAATTTCTGTAGTATTCAGGCTCTATGAACACAAGGCTGACATTACACCCCCTTACTATCAATCCATTCCCCACAATGATGGACACATTGACTTCATCACCAGCGTCTAATATGTTCCCAATTGGCCAATAGCTTAACCACACACCATCTTTTCCAACTTCAGGTTTGAAATAGATCAAAGGGTTATACATCCAAGTAAGGCCCTTGGTTGTATTGCTGACTTTGGTGAACAAAGCCCATCTTGTATCTTCATCCTCGCATGATGTGTTTGATTGTCTGTATGAGGCGGTTACGTTTAATCCTCGGATCCTGCATTTCTCAGGACAATAAGGCACACGAAAGGATAAGAATGCAGACGATGACATATACTCGGATTTTGGCATGCTTTGAGCCTTTATGCCTTGATGATATGTGCTCATTATACCATATGCATACAGCACCTGGTCACACAAATTGCAGAAATATCACATTATTCATATATAAATCAGTTTTCCGGTGGTAAAAAGATGTTTTTTTGTGTACTTATTCATGAGAGAGAGAGAGAGGTACCTCTATAGTTACCTTTCTATACCGATCGTATGTAACGACATCATAACCTATGAGGTCCACCGTAGTATTTTTATATGCTTTGATCCAATTCATATATCCCAAATTTGCTTCACCAAGCTCTTCTGACGGCACCAATTTGAAAAAGCCTTGAATTTCAAACAAGTTTTCACAACCTTGATATTCAAATTTCCGTAATCTGCACCGACCTGATTGAAATGTTATTTTCTCCAGTGAATAACACCAAGATGTATACAACTCTTCTAGTGTACTTGGGAGACATAGGAGGGACTTTATATTTGAACAATTATTCACATCGAGTACCCGAAGCATTAACGGATTACTGCCAAAATTCATATGATTGTAAAAGGATGGCGGCTCTTCTGTAAAATACGATAGATCATCAAGGTCGCAGTCATTGAGAAACAGAAACTTTAACGAGTCTGGCAAGGGGACCAAGAATGGTTGTGGCATTCTTTCAACAGTAGATAGACCTTTTAGCATTTGCAGTGGATTTGCATAATTCTTATTCGATGCAACCTTCCCTAGATAACGACACCGTCCAAAGTCCAATAGAGAAAGCTTCTTAAGACCTCCGATGGTTTCACAAACATGAGTCAGACTGAGACGGATACAGTACCAGAGAAACAAAGTCTCGAGATTAGGAAGTAGGGAAGGATGGCAGATACTGACAAGATTGACTGACCGTTGAAGATTTAGGATCTTCAGCGAATTAAGAACCTATTCAAAGAATACCAAGATTAATTAACACATAAACTGTCAGAAAGTTGGTCAAGTGACAAATAGGACATCGAATTCCTACCATGGGTGGCTCAAACTTCTTCAACGATCCATTGCTCATATGTAAAGCCACCAAGCTGCTCCCCAATAAGCCAGAGGGTATTTTTTTCAATGGACAACGAGTCCAGTACAACCATCTTAATTCTGGAAAATTCTTGTAGGACCCCGTGAGTCTCACATCTTCTAGCTTGAGCAATTTCAGTTTGTCCATTTTTGCAATTGAAGTTGTTTTAAAGATTGATGGCTGCAATATTAAGTTAATTAATTAGTATATACCTCATGTGTGACGTAAAAAGCACTGAAAATTAAAGGTAAATGCAGAAAAAATATAAAGAGTAACACACTCATTCACGTGTTTGACTTACATTTGACGTCATCCCTTCTTTGAGCTTTTGCAAGTCAAGTGCTAGACCTTCAATTGTTTTCGAACCCTAACCGGGAAAGACATGAAATGAGACAAGGCAAGTTAACATAGGAGGTTGTGAAAGGGAAAGAAAGTTTGAAGATACACATAATTAAGAAACATCTTACCTCTCCGCTTCTCAACAAACGATAAGATTCATCATTTTGCGAGACTCTACTACGTGATGCAGGATCTCTGGACTCTTGAAGGACTATGTTTCTTCCCATCTCTTGAAGCAGTTGATGCATCATCAGTTTTTTACTTGGTGAGATGGTAAGAAGGCATCTGTTGATGAGCGTCATGATCCCAGCCTTTGCATGCCAGTCATGCTCCATAATCTTTACAACATAATCCTCATAATCACCAACAAAGAAAAAAACAATGTGCAGAAACAACTCTTTGTAATTGGCATGTGGCAATGAGTCAAAGCTCTTTTGTAGTATACCCTGGACTCTTTCATCAAGATTTCCTTTCAATGAATTCAGTGAATTCAATTTACTTCTCCAAGCTTCTATCATGCTATTTTTTTTCAATGGCCCTTCAGCATCAGATAATAGAGAAGAACCCAATACTTTAAGAGCTAGTGGGTGTCCACCACAATACTCTGCTAACTGTTTTGCGAGCTCCATAAAACCTTCCATTGGAGTCTTGGATCCAAATGCATGGCGACTTAAAAGCTCTAATGATTCACGATCATTCAACAATTCGGATTTTTGCACCTCGCACCTCCAAGATATGGACCTGAACCATGCACGTAAATTTAAAAGCCTAGTTGTTATGATGATCTTGCTTTGCGTATGAAAAGCCCTTGTTCCAAGTAAAGCGGCTAATTCATCATGCTCATCAATGTCATCAAGAACAATAAGCACCCTTTTCAATTGCAAGGCCTCCTCAACCTTCATTGTACCCCCACATACACTGGCTATGCTTGCATTCTTTCCACCTAGAATGTCTGTGAGAAGTTGTTTCTGTAGCCCAAGCAGACCATCAGACTGTTTAGAGTGCTTTCCGATCTCTTCAAGGTAACTGCTGCTTCCAAACTTTTGCTTGTTTGAGTTATAAATGAATTGGGCCAGCGTTGTCTTGCCACTACCTCCCATGCCACAAATTGCTAGAACGTTATCACCAGGTTGCTCGTTTTCCAACCAAGAGTTGATAAATTTAGCTCGAGAATCCATTCCAATTAGATGAGCTGGAGTACTAACTAGTTTCAAATCTAGTTTACAGTCAATTGTATCAACCACTTTTGCGATAAACTCTGTTTCAGAGCTGCAAGAAAAGAATAAAGAAAATGAGCACATTGAGAGAATGGCATTTAATCTTCTTGAACACTTTAACTTGCTTCAGTTATACTGCATGAAATTCAAATGCTATAGCAAATGTAATATTCTTCCTGCAACCATTAATATAAACCAACTAAATATGATGAACTGAGGTGTACATAGTAAGTGTATATGCAATCTGATTGAATTAAGTTTTTAATAATAATGTAAAGGCCAACTAGATACACCCGAATTGAATGAACCAGGGTTGGACTACATGTCAAAACGGACAGGTTATCAGGCTTATTCCATTGGTTGGCGAGATTACGTGTAGGGCCAAAGTCAAACCCGAATATTTTATATTTGTAGTATACCATTCATAAGTAAGGAAGAGAGTATTGGCATAATGTCTATACATAAGTAAAAGAACAGCTATTTGTCGGATCAAGTAAAATTGTAATATTCAGTTCATCACTATAAAGAAATGTCACCTATCATGCCAAATTTGTCCAGAGACAAGGAGCAAAGCAAATGAAGTATATGCAAAAGTAAACCAACCCCTTAATTAGACTACTACGGAAAAGGACAAACAGGTAAGCATATCTGATTCTGCTCTTTGCATAAATTTAAAGCAATATGAGCAAAAGAAAATCCAATGATATTTTTAAGAAGCATATCTGAACTTGATCATCTGCTAGGCAGAAATTACGATTCCTTATCATAATTAACACTCTCATTTTAATTAATCAAAAAAAGTTTCCAAAGGATTAAACTATAAGCGTGAAAAGAGAAAGCATACCCTGAAAAAACCATGCCAGTCAAATCAGCAACCTCTGTAAGAGCCGTCTTCCATCGATTAACATTAAACTCACTCCATTTTAACCCTTCTGCTCCTTCTTCTACATTTATCGCAAAAGTTTGCCTTTGGTTCCTGACATCTGAGGGATCGACATGGTAAAAAACCGGTAAAACAAAATGTTTAAAGCTCCGCCTTTGTTCAAGGATCAACAGCAGCTCGTCAAGGCACCATCTGGAATTCGCATACTTCTCTGACAATACAACTATAGAAGACCTAGACTCTTTGATTGCTCTCTCGATTTCCGGCTTCAGTTCTTGACCTCTGTCGATATTATCATTATCCCTAAAAGTGCGTACTCCTGCTCGGTCTAAAGCTGCGTATAGGTGATCTGTAAATGAATTACGAGTATCTTCACCTCTAAAGCTTAAAAAAACGTCATGGCAGCTGGTATGATTTAGCAGAGAAGCGGAAGATGAAGCAGACGCCATTCAAATTTAGTAAGATGAGAGGTTGTTAAACAAAGGGGAACATAAAGGCATCGAAGTCAACATCTCCGGTCTCCGGAAAGGTTGGTGATAATTCCACGGATATTGATTTTTAAAGCAAAATGACAATTGTGCCCCTTTGTAATTAATTATTCTTTAAAAATTCCATCGTGTTGCAGCAAACAAAAGAGAGAAGAAAAAAGGAAGTAATGATAGAAAATAAGAGAAAAGAAAGAAAAAGAAATTTGTCTTTTATGTTCCCGAGTTTGAGAGAAATGGAAGGAAAGTTAAACACTTTGTTCTTTCTTTTCAAATCCTTTCCAAATCGAAAGGAAAATTAGGAGGGAAAGTGATCCTTCAATTTCCTTCCACTTTCTTCCTTTAATGAAACTCGGGAGCACAAATTTCTCTTACTTTTCTCTCACTTCCACCAACTTCCTTTCTTTTCTCTCCTTTAAGTTGAACTCGGGAGCGGGGTGTTAGCCTTCCTCCTCATCTTTCATAACCACCTCCTCTATCTCCTTTCCCAATTCCCCCCCCCCCCCCCCCCCCCTAATTATCTCTCCTCCTTCCCCAGGACCCCCACCACCGACATCTTCACTGCCACCCTTATCTTATTACTTAACATCGTCGCATTCATCCTCTGCTCCGCATATAGTAGCCACTGATCATCGGAACACCCGATTTAGGTCAACACTGTAGAATTCCACCCACGATGAAAGAACACAATGCAAGGGTATTTTGGGAACTTTTTCTGCTGGGATTCTATTCAACTAAGAAACTGTCGCTAAACATAAAAAACAACTCTTATTTATAATAGAAAAGAAAAGCTAACTAACTATTATTATCTGCTAACAAATTTGCAGGAAAAAGTTAATTACTCAAATTCAAAAACGGATATTCAAAGTTTGAATTTTCTGGATTATTCAAATTCATTAGCGGCGACGCATAGGTATTAACGGCGACGACCGACTATTAGCAGCGACACCCTGGAAAATTCAGCGCCATTTTTCTTTCTGTTACAACCCTTGGATTGAAAACAAATCGAACAGATGGGGCTCGTTTGACGCGGATCGCTATCCATGGCCATTAGCAGCAACGCCTTTACCGGCGACGCATGACATTAGCGGCGAAATGTAACACGTCAATTACATGTCGCCGCTAATGACATGCGTCGCCGCTAAAGATGTCGCTGCTAATGCCCCAATTTCTTGTAGTGTAACCGTCTCGTGCGGTGCCCATGAACTCAAGACCTGCCCTACTTGCTTTAACTTATCCTCTCAACAAACCCATTTGGCAAGCATACTCTAGGATCGTTCAAGTCGACCCAAAAAAAGAAAAAAGAAAACAGAAGAAGAAGAAGCAGCAAAAGTAGAGTCAACTGGAGTTCGCATAACCATAATGAAAGGTTGCTGAATCTAAAGCCAACTTGGACCTGAGTCTTTTGGTTATCTGTCAAAGCCATGTCATAACTTCTTTCGCTTTTGCGTACCCATTAGAAGCCGATTTAATCCATTTCCGTGAGTGGTCCAATGTGATAAACCGACATCGTGGAAATGTTGCTGGAAAATTTCTTTCCTTCTTCACTCGCAAGAACTTCTTAGCATTCGATAAAGTAGAAACAAGTTCATCATAATATGAATTCATTTCGGAGCAGAGAGCAAGCAGAGCCGCTCACGTAAAGAGCAGATTAAGGTAAAAATGATGGTGAAGGAAAACGCGATTCGTGTGGAGTGTATTTCTGGAAACCTCGTATCTCCTTTGGTATAATGGTTTTACTAAAAAGCATTTGAATAATTAATTAAACTCTAAATAGAATTAAGGGCTTAATTGTCAATTTTTTTAAAAAAATGTATCAATAACATCAGTGGAATTATATTCTCCTCTCCGGAAAAGTACAGAGGTGTTATGTGAGGCTGGATTGTCGTTTTAGCAAACTCTCTTTTCTAATTTGCACGCGTTAAATTTTTTTTTTTAATTAAATAAGTCATTGTTTAAGGAAAAAATTGCAAAAATAGTCATAATTGTCAAAATTATGTGGTTTTAGTCTAAAAAGGTTTGGTAGTGCATGAATAGTCCAATTTCAGATACTTTATATGGTTTTCGTCCTTATAGTTGGTATTTTTGTGTAGTTTTGGTCCATACCCAACCTAAAATTACTAATACGCGCTTAACTAATTCTTTTTTTTTGTTTATTTTTTCTAATTATATTTTTATTATTTTAATTAAAAAAATAAAAAAATAAATAAAAATCCCACCTACCCATCCTCTTATCCCTTACCCTTTACATTATCTCCTGTAAATCTCAACCACAATGTACACCAAGAACATTAAGGATCCGACACCCCTTCTTCCCCAAGCCCGGTTATGGGCAGGGGCAAGTGGGGCATGTGTCTAGGGCCCAGTTTTATGTGGGGCCCAAAAAAAATTACTATATTTTATACTATATTAGCAATCCAAAACTAGGCCCAAATGCAAAGTGAAGTGCACAACATGCGTCCATCTTCATATATGTTCATTTTTATGGGGGGCCCACATTAACATGAAAGAGTAAAGTGAAGAACATCCCTAAGAACATCTTTAAGCGCTTAAAGGCTTAAGGTTTTTTTTAACAAACTGTAAAATTTGTTATATATATATATATTCGTTACATGTTAGGTCTTAAGGGTCTTTTTTTTACTCGTCTTGGACATTTGAATTCTTAGGACCGGCCTTGTTCTTCCCTAACCAAGGTCATCGTCCTTAAGTCGCCAACGGCCTATGTCGTGCACTCTGCTGCCACTGGCGTCCAAAATTGTTACTCCCCCGTCTCCCATCTTACAGACCGGACTGTCCCTTATACCTGTAAAAACCCATCTCCATCACCGGAATAAATGGTGAACATCTCCCTTCATCACCGACAACACCAGAGCGCCGATGACCGCCTCCTACACCCCTACAACTCCAGAGAGTGCCAAATACCGCCTCAAATATCTTCACATGTTAACACTCATCTCCATCATTGGTGACCAAATCCGACAGTTGACCTTAAATTTATCCGTCAGAAGTCCGTTTAATTAGGCATGAATCTGACGGAGAAAACAATAGCATCTCCCTTCGTTTCCCTTTGGTGGTGGTGGACTTAGCCTTCTCGGTCTAGATTTGTATCTTGATCCAGATGAACCCTGATGGGTAGCAGCGGTGATCGTTGGTGTAGGTAGGTGTTGGCGCTAGTGAAGGTGGTTTGGAAGGGACAACTCCAGTGGTTTCAAGGTGGTGGTGGTGACGAATCGGATGAAATCTATCGAGCATGTTTTACGGCAACATCAACTGCTACCGACGGAAATTTCGGATAGAAGATAGTTGCACCGATGATGGAGGTGGAGCTGGTCATGACGAGGCTTCTCTCCTCTTTAGTGTTATGATAAAGATAGAAGGGGGTGGGTTATTTTTTTATTTTTAAGTTAAAAAAATGTAAATTAAATTAATTAAAGTATTATAGCAATTAACAAAATTGAAAAAATAAATTATAATGACACAATAGTCTTTTCAAGCTGATAGAGACCAAAATCACAAAATATATATATATATATATATATATATATATATATATATATATATATATATCCAAAAGTGGACCACACTACAAAAAATTTTTGGACTAAAACTACATAATTTTGACAAGGACAGAGACCATTTTTGCAATTTTGTATTGTTTAAGATTTTCTTGTTAACGATATTGATTGGTGTCATACGGTGCATGCCATACTTTTGTAGTGTCTTTTGTTTTGTTGATTGGTGTCATACGATGCATGTCATACTTTTGTAGTGTTATTTTTTTTCTCGCTTTATAAAATTGGTGGGTGTCAAATTAAGTATTACCACACCCACCATAATACATATATTTATACATGAAGTACAACATTTGAAGAAGTGTTTTTCTTTTCCGGTACCATAAAGTTGTAACACAATATATGCATACCACACTTTTTTTGGGGGGGTTCGGTGCGGTGTTTTCCGCATACCACACTATACCGCGGTATACGATATACGATATTAATTTATTATAATTAAAAGTATTTATGTTAAAAAATTTCAATAAAAATTAACTTTATTCTAAAAATCTATAACCAAGCGAATGTTATATTTTTTTAAAATTTAAAACATATTTATGAATTATTTAATTATTTTGTGTAGATACGATAATTTATAAAATTATCTCTTTATTACAAACATGAATGTAAAAACATCAAAATCAACACTTGCAAGGTGGTTCTCGGTGAGTCACCTAATCACCAGAGAAGCCACATAAATCCGAAATCCTTTTCAATCAATATTAAATCTTAACCTTTAAAACTATGTAATACTTGTCCGATGAACGAGTTATCTGATAAATGAATTATTTATATAATCTTACTCTTTAAAAATTATACTTTGCTAGTTAGGTTAAAAAGGTATATTGTTATTCAGTAAATTTCTCAAAATACAATGTTTATGATAGAAAAATGAAAAAAACTCATGAAGCCTAAAATACTTACTTAGACACAATTGTGTGTAGAACTAACAAATAAAACAATTACAAAACACAAAAAAGATTATTAATCCTTTAAAACCACCAAATAGTTATTTGTGTTCCATTGGTAACCATGTCTATGTTAATGAAATTCCTAATTCAATTAAATTATATAAATCAAAAGTTTTAAAGCATATAATCCTTGTTTGGGGTATACGGTAAGCATGGAACATTTATGAGATAAAAAGACGTACAGTGGAGTGGAGTGGAGTTAGACTAATATATTGGGAGATATTGGCCGAGTTAGACTAATATATTGGGAGATATTGGCCGAGTTAGACTAATATATTGGGAGATATTGGCCGATATATGGGGAAATTAGAATTAAAAGTTAAATCACATAATTGATCCTCTTTAAATTCACATACCCATCATTGATGTCGGGTTGACTGATTAAAAAACAATTGATTGATGATTTGATTATTCTTTATTTTATATCATCAAACGTACATAAGTATGTTGTTACTATTGGTTAAAAAGATAAGTATGTTATTGTTATTGGTTAAAAAGATAAGTATGTTGTTATTATTGGTTAGAGAGA